GAATGAAGGCCAACTGGTTGTAAGTCAAGTGTTCTTCCATTTGTTGTAACAAAATATTCTTCTGGGAGCCAATATATACACATTTCCACCGGGTCATCTTTTATGTTAAAGTAATAAAAAAGACCCGTGTAAGGTGTGGAAATGCATTTGAAAATCCAGGCTAGTTTATCTATCAAAGATTCAAATGGTGCTGCCCCCAATGTTACGATTACAGGAATGAGACCCAGCACATATTGTGGCATGGGTTCTTGTAATTTACCAATTACTTCTTGTGACATTTTTATGTTAAAACTTTGACGTAAATTGACTTTATTTATAAGTGAAAAATTAATTGTCTATATTCCTAATAAACATTTCATTCACAATTTGATATTTGTTTACAGTGTAACGAAAATAATGGCGATGACAAAAAGTTGCATATCTCAATAAATATTGAAAGATAGGCGAAGGCGAGTTTGCACGATTGCAAAGCATAATTAAATAGGTTTAGATTCATTTAAAATAAAAAAATTTATATTGCCAATTTTTTGTAAAGCTAATTCACACCTTTTTTTTAAAACCTTCACAAAATTTTTGACTTAAAAATTTGACATGAATTCTTTAATAATTATTCTAACGCAAAAATATACATAATAATTATACAAAAAATCATATCAGATTGTATCTTAAGTTCTGAAAATTTGGCATATAAAATTACATGCTTCTATATTTTCTAGAAATTTGTCAATTAAAAATAAAAGAAATCCGATTATTTTTTTTAAAAAAAGCATATAAAACCTTGGATCAGACAGCCATTATCCTGCTTATGTTCAATAGTACTCATTCTTTAGGCATTTTGAAATCACGTTCAACGGTATGTTCATTTCCTAATGTATTTTTCCTTGTTGAATGAGCATTATCAGGTCAGTAATGTAAATAACGTGAATCATTTTGAAGTTAGACCTCAATATTCGTGTGACACATACTTATTTTATAAATGTCTTCAATGAGAAATAAGAAAGCTGGCATAGATATGCGAATCATGATAAACAACACATTTTATTGTTTGTTATGCAAAATGTTGTATCGTGAACCACCATTATTTTCGTTACATACTGTGTATAATTAATTGAGCCAACAGATGATTTTTTAATTTGTTAAATCAAAACGGAGTTTATAGTTATTTTTAACCTTTTAAATGCGCTTTGTGATCAAATATAACAATTCTCATAAATTATTTAAAAATTTGTTAGTATAATACAAATTTAATCTATCGTATACCTATTAAAACTTCTAAGAGTCCCTTGTAGAGATGTGCCGTGCGCATTATGAGTCACATTACGAGATGCGCATAATAATAATAGATAAATCTGTGTTACGCGCCAAATGAATTTTATTTTTAAATTTTTGTATTACATGATGTATAAATGAAATAAAAATTTTAAATGCTGCCAATTAATCTCATTTGGATTCATTTCAATAAACTTGGTCAAGATCAGGCTTTCAGCAACCTCGCGCACAATGCGAATATTGTAATTATGAAATAAATGTTGCTGTTGGTAAATGTATTGCGTATTTTAAAATTTGTTCAAGAGTAAGTATAACAACTCTCCAAGGGTAGTAGTGAAAATGAAAAAGGAAATCAAGAATCTGATGATTTTTATGATTCTGATGTAACTTATTAAGTTAGTAAAATAATAAATTTTTATAATAAAATTTTGTATTCTAATCACAACAATAAACACAATAAACATATGTTTTATTACATCTAAGCTAAAACCATGAAGATTAAAAAAATCATTAATAATTTACTATGCGCACAATAAACTAAGGATTTCGCATTTTGCCCCTTGACGATGTTTACCTTAATAAAGAAAAATAACTATCAAAATAATATTATTGATCACTATTTTAATACTGCTACGTTGATTGTCAAGTGTTTATATTTGAAAGAAATCTCTTTGGAAAATCTGAGGTTGTACAAATTCAACCCATTGTAAACAATAGCGACCTTTCTCTTCTTTGCAGAACTTACAGGAGAGTACAGATATGAGTAGTCTGGTTTTCGTACCTAATTTTTTGGGAAGGAATTCATTGTATTAATTGAAGAAAAAGTTTTATTTGTTTGTATATGTAATTTCATTTATGGAACGCCACCATTAAAAAGGAAATTTATTATGACTAAAATTTTTTTCTTGTCACGACGCAACTCACCAGAAAAATAAAATTTTCCCTCCCCCAATTCGAGAGAAATTAAAAGCGTCACTCTTTAAACTTTTCCTTGACAAATTTAACAACTAAAAACCGGTCATATAGATCTTTTTACACGATTGACTTCTTGACAACAACAAAAAAAACTATGTTGGATTGGATACATCCACCCACACAACGCCAAACTAAAAATGGATAGCTGAAAAGATGAAAATTTTCAATAATGAATGTTCTTCGCCTTCCTTGATGGATGTATATAATAGCGAAAAAAAGTGGGTGAATATAATAAATGATTTATGTGTGATAATATGCTGCAGGTGTTGCAATTTGGCCACCTGTTTGAAAAGTCAAAAGAACTCGTAATGGCTGCTCAAAATCTGCACAAGATTTGATCAGTTCGTGTGGCTGCTTTAAAGATCTACTTATAAAAGATTCTTCCTTTATTTATCAGATCAACATAATATTAAAAAATTTATTTAACTACATCGTATGGGAAATCTCATTAAGTGATGGTGGCCCTATAAAAAGAGTTGGTGAAGGCGGTTGGAATGAATTCAAAGCATTAACCTTAGAAAATAAATTATTTTCATTTTGCAGTTATATAGATTTTTCTGATGATTGGTCAGAATTAAATGCTGATATCAGCATTGATAATGAAATCTATTATACTGTTTTCAACTAATAATATTTAACAAACATGCTTGCTTTTACAAATGTGTTTTTTATGAATTATTGGCTGGGATTTTCCCTGGTTTTACTTTATTATAAAACTTACAAGAACCAACCGATAAAATATTAAACAGTTGACGCAATAAAATTGAGAAAACCTGTAATCAAAATTATTCCTCAGAGGTTCCATATTAACACCTAATTTTATGGAACACAAGCGTCGAGGATATCTTTACAATTAATTATTATAAAAAACAAGGAAGAGACATCATAAAATTGTATTACAGTTAATCATGGCGCCAGGCAAATTTTATTTAAATGACCTTTCGAAATAATAATCGTTTTCTTATATTGTGATTATGAGATCTATATTGCATTGTTGTCGCATAGAGGTTGATACTGTTAACCATTAATTTTGGGTGTTGCAAATTTCAAAGAACACATGAACGTGTAATGATGAAATAAATATGGGAGATACTAATTCCACTAGAGTTTTCAGCTGCTCTAAAGACATCAATCTTTTCTTTTGACTAATACTAATGATGTCAAGCAGCAGAAAATTTTCCCCATTCCACAATTTTTTGTACATATCACATGACCAATTTTTTTTCGCCACATATATGGATGTCATTAGTTCAGCTTAACCTAGTTTAAAGTTCAAGCAGATTAAACTTCTTTTGAAAAAAAAGACTTTTTACAAGTCAAATTCGAAATATGAACATAGTTATATAAATATTCTTAGGCATGCATGCTAAATTAGAACTAAATTTACTCAAACGGACGGTTTAGCTCCAAATCTGCCAACAATATTAAATGTCATTTTAGCAATTCATATTTTTATCGTTATATATTAATATTCTTTTATTTACCGTTAATTTTCTTGAGCATGTGCTTCAAACATATTTAAAGTATAATTGAAAGCATGTTTGAAGTGCGTTTCGAGCGGATATTAAAACATTAGTGGTTGAACTCAGTCTAGTTACGCTCTACCAAAGAAAATTAACGTCCCTACTCACATAGCACCACAAAATTTTTATTAAAATTTTAAAATAAAGTACGTCAATTCGTTACCTGAAACTTGGAGCCAAGAAAGGTGAACAGAAAAAGATATACAATATTTAAAAATAAATGACCAAATAAATTAAAAGCTGAAAATTTTATCAGAATTAGATTTAGAACTCCATCTGAAGCTGGATCAACAAAATAATCCAGATCTCACCGAAAGAAAAGTTTCGACAGAAAACAGGCCTTGTTTTTCATTTTTTTGATATTTATGCAAACATTAATTCTCGCAATAAGAATAAATAATGTTACATTCCTTCATTAACTCGTAATATTGTAACGATGAATGTGACAAGTGAATATTATGAGGCTGTTAATAATAAAGATAATGAATGTTTTGGTACAGGTAATATATCTCTAATGCCACGAGTGAGATAAAAATATTCGGAAAATACATAATAAAAATCCAAAACCTGGGATTATTTCAAAGATGACGGAAATAGCATTGATTGTAAAGTATTAAATTGCGATGCTAAATATTCAATGGATTCTGTATTTTGTTCAAATGAATCTATGTGTTATTCTAATGATATTTTTTATTGGAAAAAAAAGCCAATCAAAAAAACAGTCTTTGAATTGTTTGAAAGGATCAAGGAACGCAATCCCTATCATAGTCATTTAGCATGTATAATAAAATTAAAAATTTTCATGTGACTAAACTAACCAGTTAATATTAATAATAATTTACACTTTCTTTCAAGTTCGTCCACTAAAGTTATAGTATGTGTTACATATTTACATGTCCCCACTTTAATTGAACAATAAAGTATTTTATTTTACTTTAAAAATTACGTTACACGCATATAAAAATAGTGTAACATTTTGAATGTCCATCATGCTCTATTTAACAGATTGATTATCCATTAATAACAGGCTCCATGGTCTAGTCGTATGATTCTCGCTTTGGGTGCGAGAGGTCGTGGGTTCAATTCCCGCTGGAGCCCATCAAAAAAATTTTTTGGCAAATTTTTTCTAACAAAACTTTATTAAATGATATTCTGCAACAACAACAAACAACAAATATATGTAAACAAAGTTATCAATAAAAAAAAAAAAACAGTAAATTTTTCATTTTGTAACTATCTACTTTCTCTAACAATTCTGTTGTTATCTGCTGCACGGTTATGCGATTGATGAGATGTTTGTCCACTTCGTCCTTGACTTGTAGATGGGTTGTATTGGTTAGATGAAGGATTGAATGCATTAGCACGAGCATTAGCCGAAGATTTGGCAGATGAAGCAAAACCACCGCTGCCGCCGCTTTTACTACCACCACCACTTTTACCGCCGCCACCACTTTTACCGCCACCACCACCGCCTTTTCCTGAACCTTTACCCCTAATTTTTAATAATGATGATTTATTAATTTATTTATGCGTAATCATTTTTCTTCAAAGAGAAAAAACTTACATATTTAATGTTTTTTTGTGTTTATTTTAAATTCGGAATTTTTTTTTTAAAAAAAAATTTATTTGTTGAATGTGCGAGTGCGTATCTTGGTAGGTGTCCTTTTAAAATAAGAAATTGTTTGCTATTTAAATATATTATAAAAACAAAAAGTTAATCTGTAACTTTACTTACTATTTTTTTACCTCGTAACTCTGAGAATAGAATCATCTGTTCATTTGTTTATATAATAAAAAATAACTAGTTATATTTATTAATATGATTTAACTTTGCATAAATTACGACATAGTTCTATTTCACACTACCACGGTCACATGTTATTAATATAGGGAAAAAAATACATCAAAATCTCGCATTAGTATTAGAAATAAAAAAATCTTTGATCGTTATACGAAAGTTTTTGGGTTTGGATTCACACACCCACACTAGCACGTGAGTACGTGAGAGAGTGAATTTAAGTCCAAGTTTTATTATTATTATGGAAAATAATGTTTCCATTACTAGCATGAATTCAACGATGCTCCTTGTGAAACAAGAGAATTAAAGACAAAGTCAACATGATTTTAATAATAATATAATAATAATAATAATAAAGGAAAAATTCTAAAAATAAAAACAGTTGAAGATTAATATAACGAGTAAAAATTCCCATCAACGTAATTAATTAAATGGGAGAATTAATATTATCACCCATTCGTTGAATTATTCATTTCTATTTCGTATAACCTTAACCTTATTTAGTAGAAATCAACGTATAAGCAATTAATATGAAAGTGATTATGGTAATGAAAATGCTACTAATTAACTTAATTGTATACAAGAAGTTTGAATTCAATATACTCGTAAAGTAAGTTTAATAACTTTTAGCTTAGAAATAAGTCAATAATGAATTAAATAAAATAAATAAGCATTTATAAATTACTAAGCCAAAATTATTCGTTAATAAAAACCAATTCGTTAGTAGTAACCAATTCATTCAGATCAACGTAATCACAAAACACTCGCTCCCAAATATAATTTTTGATTTAGCAATTTGTATTATATGCATCTGGCTAAAATCAATTTCATTTTAGAAAATTTGAATTGAGTTATTCTCAGCAAATTGACCAAGTTTTTCAATAGTTTGTCTTTTTGATGGTTCCCGCATCCCAAAATCTTTGCATCATTTGTACATAATCATCAGACATTCCTGCCTGGTGATATTGGTGATCGTAAACTCTCACATATATCAAAAATTAAACGATGATTATGGGCTTTATGGATGTCCTGCAAATCTTTCCCACATAAGCACCCCAACACTATAAATATATGATTTCTTTTGTGATCTTTGTGTTGTTTTTTGTCTCCAAGTAGCTCAAGTGCAATATGCAATGTGTTTAAAAAAAAAAGGCACCAAAATGTAAATTTATTTTAAAATGAACAGGTTAGCTCCTGGAAATATGTTGATATTGGAGAAGATACCAAGATAAAAAACCAACTCACGCACGTCCATTGATCCGATAAAAAGGAATTATACCAAAAGATTTTTATGATCACATGAAGTTTATAAGAAATATCTTATGGAAAATATGAATGATTTAACCAAAGAAAAAAATATGGAAAATACACTATAAATACAGAAATACGTTTTGGTATTAACAAACATATGAAAAGGAATAAAATTAACAAAAATGTTAATAAAAATAAAAAGTATAAAGATAATAAATCCACAATGTCAGATTGGATAACAAATAATATTTAGATTTGGAGTGTCGTGGATGTTTTCGTGACAATTCACTATATATAATTTTCTTATTGAAGTGTGGTTATAACTATTAACAGCCACATGAAAAGAACGGTAGAATACGGGAGGTATTCGTTTATTTAAATTGTGTATTGTATTTTTACTATGTAATTAATCGCTTAAAATAAAAAACGAATGCTTGTATATGTTTATTATATATGTTGCAAAAACTTTCATTTCTGAAAAAAGAATTCGCGTAATAGACTGGTCATCAAACAGTCCTGATCTTAAAATATGGTTCCAGGGAGTTGAAGATATTTATGGTTGAAGAATGGGAAAAAATTCAGTCAAAAATATTATTGTGACTATGAAACGGAAATGTGAATTGGTTTTAGAAAAAAACGGCGATAGAATTTCTTATTGTTAATTTTTCGATAAGATTCAAATGAATCTAGTTTTGTTGATCTACCTTGCATAATAATAATTGTTTTGAAACACTGTATGATAAATCACAATGGATTTTATCATATATTAAATCTCTTTGTGTAATGCATCGCATAAATATACACTGCCCGGAAGAAAGTATCCGAGCCTAGCTTTTTATTAATTTCGCAAACTTTTACATAATAAAAATTTTTTTTTGAAAATATCATCATGTAGCTTAGGTTCTAACGGAATGTGTATGCAATATTTCACAATTCTGGTGTTTATACTAACTTTTTAACCAAAAAAAAACGAACATCAATTAAATTTGTTTGAATTTGTATTTTCTCAAAATTTTACATAACGAGAAAAAAACAAAAATACCATTTTGTAGCTTAAGTTCTAAGATATAAATTATGGAAAAAATTATTTTCCTGTCATTGGTAGAAAATTTGTTATTAAAAATAATCTGACGATAATAAAATCGATTAAATCAAAAAAAATATTTAAAAATGCCAAAAAATTCCGAATTAACTGAAGCTGAGCGTGGAAAATTTTTGGGTCTTAGATTAGGTGGTAGTAGTCTTAATAAAATTGTAAAGATACTTAAGCTTCCAAAAACTACAGTTTATGATACCATTAAACGTTATGAAAATGCTGAAGGCCTAAGAAGTGCACCAAGAAGTGGACGTCCCTGTGCATTAAATGTTAGTGAGCAAAAAACTCTCAGAGAAATTTCATTAAAAATTAATCGCAGTTCTGCAGAAGAAATTCAAAGAAAATTTGTTGGTGGTCAGTGGCGTAGAAGTGTCAGTTAAAACAATTCGCAAAAATTTGCATGAACTTGGGATCCAGTCCAGGGTTGCCGCAGTGAAACCTCTATTAACAGATCAACACAAAGAGAAAACCGGTTAAAATGATGTTTAGATAGAAGAAATTGGATAAATCAGACAATGGAAATCTGTTATTTGGCAAAAATGGATAAATAATAATAATATAAAAATCTTATCCAATTGGCCATCTCAATCTCCTGATCTTAATCCAATAGAACATCTTTGGGATGAATTAGAAAGAAGATTAAAAAAACGTGAAATCCATCCCAAGAATTTGCAAGAAGGATGGTCTAATATTCCTGAAGAAGTTTATAATAAACTGATTGAAAACATGCCAAGGTGGATTGAGGCATGCATATCTAATAATGGATGGCCCACAGAATATTAAATTTTTTATTAGGTGATGTTTTAATAAAATTTTGGTTTTTATGATCATTTTTTATATTTTTTATATTAATTGAAGTTCGTTTTTTTTTGGTTAAAAAATTAATATAAATAACAGAATCATGAAATATTGCATACACAATCGTTAGAACCTAAGCTACATGATGATATTTTCAAAAAAAATTTTTATTATGTAAAAGTTTGTGGAATTAATAAAAAACGAGGTTCGGATACTTTTTTCCAGGCAGCGTATATTGTAACCCCTATCCTCCATCTTGCAAATAATTTAAAATCATTGCGTGATTTCCGTCGTCGAAGAATTTAGCACATAACAATTGAATTTGATAATAGTTCAAATATAAAATCAATTAATATACAATGCGGATCATCTACACTCAAAATTTAAAATTTTTGAACATTATTATAATCCACATTAAAAAAAACTACCACCATTTCAATCTAGCTTTAAGGAAGTCAATTCATGTAAAAAAAAATTAGTAATTTTTTTTAAGAATAGGGTTTCTGATCAAAAATAAAAGTGATATTCATAATTATTATCATTTAATTGAAATACTTATGGCTATTTGAAATACTTGCAACTATTCTAAATACTAATGTTTATAACTATTTGAAATACTTTTGACTGTTCAAAATACTTATTATTATTATGTCTGTTCAGAGTATTTATGCCTTTGAAATTGGTATTCGAAATATTTTGTAACACCTTGCAATAAATTATTCACAAAATAATATCTTTCAATTTGAAATCTTTCTTGACAAATGATAACTAATATTTTATGACTATTTGAAATGTTCGAAATTCCACCCATTAACGAAAATCATCTGATGTATTTCATAATTCTTTTTGGATATTTGATTATTCGAAAAAAGAGGGGGTTAATGATCGGAAACACCAATTGCAATATTTTGGATTAGATGACCAAATTTGGTAATTGATTTACTTTTGATAATGTTTCATTCTATGAAAAAATTTGTTACCAAATTTGGAATGTTCAATGCTAAGTTTTATTGTTCATGACTCAGCTTCAAAAGCTAAAACTTGCCAGCTAACTTTTTTAAAATGATATAAAATTTTTGAAGCAATTAATTGATTAAATAAAAAACTATAAACTTCATCAAAAAATGCTTTTCTTGGATTATTATTTTTAACTTTTTAATGTGATATCTTGCCTTCCCAAAATATATTTCCTCTTGTCCATGCAGCAGTATAAATTTACCTTCAGCCAACTTTGTTCTATAACCAAATTACTCAAAGGTGTCCATTCTAAAACGTAATTTGGCAAAGATGATTTCATTTGAGATGAGTGATGCTAACGTAATTAATGAACTTTTTTTTTAAAAATAAAACTATATAAATAAAAATCGTATCACTAAAGAGATACAAACATGAAAACTAAGGGAAATTATAGTAAATAGATCAAACTTTTGGGCATAGAGGGGTTTTTTTCTTTTCAAATAAAAAAATATTTTTTTTTATATATAGTAAATACATAGATAAACTTTATAACCCAATGAGATAGAGAAAAAGCTTTATATAGTTTATTTTGAGCAATAAAAACTATAAAAAGTTTTGTTTAATGGTTTAAAGCCATTTGATTTATTTACCATAAAAATTTCTATTGAGTTTGTTTATATTACATATTAGTAAAAGCTTCTTTTTATAATTCATGTTTTAAAAAAAATATTTCTTATCTTTATCATATAAAAAATAATAATCTTTTGATGATCGAAGTCATAAGACATCATGTAATTTCCAGATGTCCAAGTGGTGAAAAGACCCTGTAACTGTAACTAGTACAGCCCTTCACAGAATCTAATAGGGTATTTGGTTGATTTACACTTGTTGCATTCTTTTTATTTGCCCAATTTACAAAATCACAAATAAAATTTTCCCTATTTTTTTTTTTTGACTATCACAGTTAACAACAGCATTGTCATACATTTCTTTATACAAACTCCCATATTTATTGTGATAACAATCTACCATGTGACATTTTTAACTTTAGTTAAAGATAACGAAATTCACTTTGACAATCATTTAAAATAAAATAACATAATCCATTATCAATTCATATTATGAAATTAGTAAACTTCAGTCGGGGAACCTACTATCATTGAGATTTATGTGGATTTTGGAGATCAAAAAATACTTTTTTAAAAAAAAAACTAAAAAAAAACTAATTTTCTGGGATAACGTTGAAACTAGCCCTTAAAATTTTTTTTTGATAATTCGATAAATGAAATGACACGAACATATCATATTAATACTAGTATGCATTTTGGGAATTTGGAAAAGGGCAAGTATAGCATGTATTATCGAACTATCTTCTTCAAGCAAAGGTCATTTGCAAGAAGCAAGTTGATTTTAAACACCAACTCACCTGGAGGGAAGGGCGAGATCATTAGTAGAGCATTTAGGATAATAGTTATACCTCAAAGAGTTAGGGATTTATGACCTACCTACGAGTGACTAGAGTTACCAGCATAAATTATAATTGATGCCTTCCCCATGGTAGAATAAATTCAGCATTGAAGCATATCTTATAATCTTATGTTATGAACAATAAAACAATAATCAGGTTATATATTTACTGTTAATCTGTCGGAAGATACTATAAAATTGATGAGTTGGATCTAACTTTTGCCAGAGTGATGCTATACCACGCAACAAATGATGTTTCCACAACCATAACGAATTCAACAATTCAACAATGCTCACATTTTAATGCTACAATTCTAAAATATAATATGGCAAAGATGGTTTCATTTGACATTGTTTAATAAAGTCATCAACTATGTTGTTTCCAGATGTCCAAGTATTGAAAAGGCTTTGTAATTGTAAACTTCACAGAATCTACCAGAGTATTTGGTGGATTTACACCTGTTACATTCTTTTGGTTCTTCTGTTCATAAACTGCATTATTTAATTCTAAATCATAAATAATCTACAAAATTCTTTTTCATTTTCGTTCCTTTCAACTAATGAAGAAAACCACTCTTTTATACTTTCTCTATCAGAATTAACAAAAGTATTACTACACACTTCATTGTAAAGTTAAATACAAACTCACTCCTTTCTGGTGATAATAATTTGCCATGTGACATTTTTAACATAAATTTGGAAATCAAAATACAAATTCACTTTTTTCCTCTATCATTTAAAAAAACAACAAGTATGTTATTGTGGAAAGTCTAATTCACTATTAAATTTCGATGAAACCTAATTAATTTTTCTGCAATAAAATTGAAAGAAAATGACATGAACGCAGCTTAATAACTTGTAACGAACATACTGGTACTAGCATACATTCCAGGAATTTGTAAAAAAGGAAATATGTAATATCAAACTGTCTTCTTCGAGCCAAGGTTATTTGTAAGAAGCAAGTTAATTTAAACATCCACCCAACTGGAATGTAAATTTCTCCCCAAATTGAAACAAATGATGTTTCCGCCACCGAAATGAATCAAACAATGCTCCGAGTTTCTAACTTGCGTAGTCGACTAGCATTATTGATTCAAAAGCACGACTATCAGAACATACTAATGGCGAGTAAATAAATCCGAGAGACATGCAAACAAAAAGGAAAAAGACATAGGAAGCATCAAGTGAAGTTTAGATACAAAAGCATTTGAATTCGGTCGATGTCAATAATGATACATCAATAGCAATTCATTCTCTAGAGAAACTTCATTATACTGGGCCAATGCTTTTTGCATTATCATACAAATAATGAACGCACCAGCCATGGAATTTCCAAACTGAATATTTAAGATAATCCACCCATTGAAATCTTGGGAAGTGTTTCTGTGCAGATGCAAACATAATAGACAATTTATTTCGTAATATATAATAACATCTTTTGCGAATTGTTGAATAAATTTGCTAACTAGTTTAGGAATGCTCTATAGTCAACTAAACATATTAACATTAATGGTATTTTCCCGATTCCGTCCGTTCTCTGTAAATTTCATTATGACATATGTGGATAGAGTATCTTCATGAAACTGAGATCAAATGATTTATAAATAGTAAGTGACGAATTATAATTAATATTGTTATATAGATATAGTTATATATATAGGTAGAAAACATTTGAACTCCTGAAAAAAAATTTTTTTTTTGTGCGATAAATATAATTAATTAATAAATTAAGCTTTTTTTTTTTTATAAATTCCAATAAAATTTTTTAAATATTAATCAAGTGTTGTCAGACGACTGACAAATCAACCTTACCAAATGGAGATTTTTGACAAAATTGGTCAAAGGGACCGAAAAAACCTATATGGCATTTCGTTATTGTTGATCCTGTATGGAAATTTTGCAGTCCCCAAATTTTAAATAGAACAAACGCGTGTTCTTTTACATTCATTATCAATCATTTATCTTCTTATCAATAGTATTACGATTTAGTATAAAGTATATCGAAAAGAATTAAAATATTTTTCTTTGTAAATTTTTAATGACATCAATTTAATACTTGGCTTCCTTGACGAAAAAGTTTTAATTAAATACCACACACACACATACGCACGCAACACACACACGCACACACACACACACAAAACAATTGCCATTCCTTTTCTTTTTATTTTTTTGATTAAATAAATTACTCGTCGCTTTTTTGCTGGGGCTAATTGCTTTTCAGAAATTGAAATGAAATTTTCTAAATCTTTTCAAAGTGAAGCCGTGCCAGAATGGAAGATTAAGTAAGTACAATTAATTTTTCGAAATAAAATTTAAATTGCCTTTTTCACACATACATATTTATTTTTCGATTTTTTAACGCTTAGGTATATTGATTACAAAGGATTGAAAAAAAAGTTACGTTTGGTTCAAAAAGCTCGAATATCGAGAGAAAGGGAATTAAGCTACCAATTATCAAATCGTCAAACACCATTACAATATGATAAAAATCAAGAATTTCAAGAAAACCAAAGAGAAGTAATTGAAAAAGATGAAGAAATTCAAATGGATGACGAATTTCGTCACCATTCATACCCACATGAATTCCCAACACCACCACCACCATTAAATACATCAAGGCGAACTTCATACCAATCCCAAACTAGTCAAGGAAGATTTAGCTTTACTGGGATGGCTGAAACCGCCAACTCCTTCATGCGTGGAGTCTCATGGAAATTGCATAATAATCCAAAAAGACAATCTATTTCGGAAAATAGTAATTAATTGGTTATTTTTTTTTAAAAAATAAAAAATTTCCGTGATTAAATAATAATAATAATAATTTTTTTCTCGAATACAGCACGGTATCCGTTAATAACATCATTAGATACAATTATGGACCAAGTAAACCCGGAAGAACGAGTTTTTTTCGTAGCTTTAGAACAAGAATTAGAAAAAGTAAAAATATTTTATGATTGTAAGGACCATTTTTAAATTTTTGTACATATTATATATAATATAAACGATTATTATTTTTATATTAATAAGAATATTTCTTACAGCACAAGAGAAAGAAGCTATAAGGCGTTTTGCCATTCTTCAACAACAACTCGAAGATTTAAAAGCCTTAAAAACTAATCATAAAAAAACGTCAGGGCGCGTAAGTTTGTATAAAATATACATATAAATCCAATAAGTCACATTTAATTGAGTTTGTTGTTTTTATTGTTTTATATAGAATATAAAGCAGAGTATAGGAAACATTGCAACAAGAATGTCGTCGTCTTCTTTTGGTAGAAATAGTACGTATGATTTTGCAGTTGATTACAAAGAAGCAAAGAAAAAAATAAGAAAAGCAATATTTGAATTTTATAGAGGTGTAAAAATGCTAAATGAATACAGGGTATTTTTTAAATCATAATAACATATAATCATAATAATAATAATAATAATAATAATAATAATAATAACAATAATAATAATAATAATAACAACCTTGCAGGTGCTTAATAAATTGGGATTTATTAAAATCCTAAAAAAATATGACATTTCTTCAAAACGTAATGGCTCTCAAATCTATTTACCGAAAGTTAAAAGTAGTAATTTTATAAAATCTGATATATTAAATTTACTTATCAAGGATGTCGAGGTATGATCAGAACGATTAGTTTTATAATTATAATTTTTATTGCCATGATAAATAAATTAATATTATAATATATGCGCATGATAGGAATTTTATGTAAAAAATTTTGAAGGCGGCTCTAGACAAATCGCTATGAGAAAATTAAGGCTTCCAAATAATATGCATAATGTAATAATATAATATAATATAATCACTGCTTTTATTATTATTATACTAACAGCATCGTTAATATTTATAAATAGATATTCAATGGAGCGTCTTTGCGTGTTGGTTTATATCTTGGAATAGCAATTCCGATCATAATTTTTTATGGTAACAAAATTTTTCAACTGTGATTAAATTAATTTTTTCTTCTTCTAATAATTATTTTTTTACAAAAAGCATCAAGTACACAACCCGAGAAATGGGGTGTTTTAATTCATCTATACATTGGAGTTTTATTACCAATAATAATGTCTCTACTAATTGGAATTAATATGTATATTTGGGATCAAACACGTATAAATTACAAATTTATATTTGAATTCGATCCGAGAGATAATCTGAATTTTCAACAATATTTGGAGGTAAAAGAATGTTTTGATATTACTAATACTTTTATATTTATTAATTGCTAATGAATATTTAATATTAATTAGATCCCAGCTACGCTTTTTCTTGTGGCAAATTTCATAATTCTTTTAAGTGTTTTAAATAAAATAGAATTTGTGAGTTTTACTTTTTATCCGGGACTCTTATTGTCATCTTTGATCTCGTTGCTTATCACTCCTTACCCAACATTTTACTATAATGCAAGACGATGGTTTCTGTTTACAATGGTAATTAATTCTTTTAAATCCAATAAATTCTTTAAAACTATCCACTAACAACAACAACGTCTATTATTATTATTTTCTTAGGGTCGACAAATTGCTTGTTTTTATTATCGTGTAGAATTTCGCGATTTCTTTATTGCTGATGTTTTGAACAGTTTATCGTATTCCTTTACTACTATGAGACTCTTAACGTGTATATGTAAGTATAATTAATTGATTAATTAATAATTGTTTCCTTTAATGTTTTATTTGTTAATTTCTTTTTAATTTTAAAATATATAAGTTAACGAAGATTGTAATGATACTTTAACGATATTCGTTCCATTACTTGGTATGATCCCTGCTACCATACGTATGATTCATTGTTTAAGACGTTACCATGACACCGGAAAAATCTTTCCTCATTTGATCAATGCTTTGAAATATTTATCTACTATGATTCCATTATGGGCTTTATATTTTAATCGTATACAAAGTAATTGATTTATTATTGAATAGAATCATTAATATTACTAAACTGTTAATATGTTAAATCAACTTTAGTCATGACTGTTGTTACTAAACTAAGATTTTACCTTTTTACGCTGATTAATATTAATATATATATTTTTGTAATAAATTTTTAGGCAATTATTTTGTTTATACAATTTGGATCATATCACAAACTATCGCAACATTGTATGCATTTTCATGGGATGTTCTGATGGATTGGTCATTATTCAGTTTACAAAGTGAAAATTATTTATTAAGGGATCATTTAGTTTACAATGAAAATTGGATTTATTATGCCGGAATTGCAGTAAATTTCTTTTTGAGATCAAGTTGGGTTTTTATTTTAATATTTCCCCATGGTTACGTAAATGTCGCACTCTTTATTGCAATTGGTGAAATTATCAGAAGATGGATATGGAATTTCTTTAGAGTTGAAAATGAGGTATATAAGCTTGTTTTTTATTTCTATTGTGCAGTAGGTTGATTACAATAATAATAAATATAATAATAATATATATAAATATATTTTAATTCTTAGCATGTTAATAATTGTGGGCAATTCCGTGCTATTAAAGAAGTGCCGTTACCATTCGAAGTTGCGCCAATTCAGATAAAGATCGGAGAAGAAATAATAAATTCTGATTCAAAAACCGATTCAGTCGACGATATGATTATTGACGATAAAGAGAGTCCGGTATCAACAAACTGGTTGGTTAATTTGATTAGGTCGAATCGAGCCAACGGAACCAGCAAGAAAGATGATTGGAAGGATTTCGAAGCTAGTAAAAAAGAAAATCAATATAGCGAAGATGATGACGATGATTATTATGCCGATGACTATGATAATCCTATACTTGCCTCAAATCAAATCTTATCTAGACGACTTGTTATGACTAGATTAGGTGGTGATACAAGCTACTCTAGTAGAAAATTGCCAATATATTCTTGATTTCTGGCAGAACATTTAAATACGTGTGTGTGTGTGTGTGTTATTTATTATTATTATTATTATTCGTAGATATTTATATATTTATCGATTAAAATTTATTCATTCATTTAATTTAACTTAATATGATTAAAATAATTTTTTTTTTTATGTATAAAAAAATGTATTATTTCCAATTGGAAATTTTTTTTAATAATAAAATATGAAATGAGGAAATTTAGGTTTTTATTTTTTTTTTTAAAGAATATGTGCTTGTTTTAGAATCAACGATCTTTTCGGAATTTCGTCATCATTCATGAACAATTGATACATGAAAGGACCTCCATCCTATTTTGTAAGATCAGTCGGTCATATACAAGTATATATACAATGATACAGATAATGCGCGTATTAACTACCATCAAAATAAATTATCAACAAACTTTTTTCTATAATTATTCATGAACATAATCTAAGTCTTCACTACAATATAATAATTAAAGGAAAAATTTTTTTTTTTAATTTCGCTTCTCTAATAATTAGGTAAGTGTTATAGTTCACTAATTCGTAACGAATGTAGCGTTAGCACTAGTATTTCGGAATTTAACTATCTTTTTTCTTCAAGCTAAGGTTATTTGCAAGAAGCGAATTAATTAATTTCAAATTACCAACACGCCCGGAAGGAAGGGTGAGATCGCTAGTGATTCTGTCTACCAGCATAAATTTAACCAATTTGTATTTGATGCATTCCATATGGTGGAATAAAGTTAGCATATATTACGAAGAAAAGCTCTTAGGCAAATTTTATATAACCTTATGTTGTGGTCAATAAAACAATAATCGAGTTTTATATTTTACTTTTAATCTTATCAGAAATATTACAACATTGATGAGTTGGACCTATTAATAAAGAATTATTGCCAAAGTGATGTTACACCATACAACAAATGATGTTTCCACCACCGCAATGAATTCAATAATGCTGCATTCGTTATATGGGACTTTATAAAATAAGAGAATTAAAAGAAAAAGTCAACGATTACAAATGTGGCTTTAAAAATAATGATAAAGAAAAAAGAAAATATATTTATCAAAAATAATTTTCTTCTCTGAAACAAGAATTAAAAATTTATAATTTTCATTGATATAATTGAATAAATTTATAGCAGAGATCAAATAAATCATCCATTGATGGATAATTCAACAATTTAATTTCATCAATTCTTTTCAATATCTTCTTTTCCTTCACTATTATTACTAGAATCTAGTGTCATATCAGCTATTACAAATTTATCATATTTCAGAATATTGGTTTTCATAATATCATCAAATAAATCTTTCATCATTCTGTAGAGCTTTAATTGATCATTTCTTGTTTTTAGCATCAGGAAAATGGGTACAAATATTATGCGTATATAATATGCAATTGCAGGGATTAAGCATATAATATATGTACA